GCAAGCAAGCCTCCTGTTCGCTTCAGCTGCCTGGCTGCCGGCCGCCATCTTGGTCGGCAGTTAATTTGCATATCGCCCTGATTAGCCAATGGGAAACATGTCGGAGGTACAGTTAATTACTGTGTTTGTCTATTATTAGATAGGAGAGTAAATATATTGAACCTGCTCATTTATTTCAAGAACTACGTTGTAGAGGCTTCTATGTATCTTACTGAGTCTGTAATATAGACCATGCATAGGTCTGTCCCCTGGGCCTAGCCCATGGTTGGCAAACTGCAGCTCTTTGGCCCCTTGAGTGTAGCTCTTCCTAAGCCTAGGAGTACCCTAATTAAGTTAATAACAATGTACCTACCTATATAGTTTAAGTTTAAAAAATTTTGCTCTCAAAAGAAATTTCAATCGTTGTACTGTTGATATTTGGCTCTGTTGACTAATGAGTTTGCTGACCACTGCTAGGCTTTTTTTTCTCCTGGTGCCATATTTATTGCCTTAAACCAGTGGTTCTCAACCTTCCTAGTGCCGTGACCCTTTAATACAGTTCCTCATGTTGTGATGTCCCCCAACCATAAAACTATTTTTGTTGCTACTTCATAACTGTAATTTTGCTAGTGTTATGAATCGTAAATATCTGATATGCAGGATGTATTTTCATTGTTTGCAACCCACAGGTTGAGAACCGCTGCGGCTTAAACAAAACAAAAATTTTCTTTCATCATTAGAAAAAAATGAGTTAAAAGTTTAAAAAATTACTATTAGTGCAGTTACCCTCTTTTTCTCTCAACAAAATCCGTTGGTTCCATTTTCGTTGAAGTCAATGCTCTTTAGCTTTAATTGATTAAGTGTAGTAATGAGTAGTACAAACTACAATAAAATGCTCCGTTGCTATAGATAGTCTATCTAATTGTGCAAGTAGTTAAACATCCTTTTCTCAGCAATTGGTCTGAATAATAGAGTTTCAGTGGTTCAGTGACGTTCTCCATAACTATCATAGGTGAGAACCTAAAAGTCATGTCCTACAGGGGGTCAATGGTGTCATTTTAATCCCCTGCAATACAGTACCAATACATCTCCCTTCCCATAGCAGGCAATTCCAAAAATAATGTACAAAGCATTTTAATAAAGACTTCATTAAAAAATCCTGGAACTTTTATTTATCTATTTTATTTATCTATTTATTTATTTATTTACAAAATAAGACATTATACATGGTTACATGTTTTGCAGGAACAAGTTTTTCCTATGGGACTCAGGAGTAGAAATAACCTTTCAGAGTGAAAAGTGCTTTTCTTTTTTTAATTACTAGTTTTCCTTTAGATCTTGGGTATGTTCCAGTTTTTCTTCTTTGATGAAGGGGATGGCAAACTTGAATCTGAAGTGCATTTTCTAGAAATGTTAATGTTGCTTCTAAACTTTTTTCACAGATATGATGCTCTACATTTAGTCAACATATTTCCTGTTACTTTGTTGAATATTTGTATTAATAAATACACAAAGCAGCAACTCCATGAAATAAATAACCTGCAGTCAGATGATACTATAGCTATATGAAGAATAACTTGTAATAACTCGTATAAGTACAAATAAACCATACTTTTTATCTTTCAAATGACAACTTTATAAAGGCTAAAGTAATTTTTGCATAATGTTGACTGGACATTATTAATTTCTTTTATTTTTAATAAAGCTTTGGACAATATGTATATTTTTGTTTAATGCCAGGTACTGATGGAGTTTCCCAAAATGGAATCTGAACATCCTCAGCAACATGCAATAGATGCAGTAAATAAAATTGAAGGAAAGAAAATTGAACCAAATATTTGCTTTGATAGCAGCAGACAGTGTTCAGGAAAAGAACCCATTCTTTTTAAGCTTGAAACTGCAGAAGAAATTGAGCGGAAACATCAACAGGACAGTGACCTCTCTGTACAAATGCTAAAAGATTTTCTTGAAGATGATATTGACACGAATCAGTACTTTTTACCACCAAAGTCATTGCTGCGATATGCTCTTTTGTTAGACATTGTTACGCCCACTTGCAGAAGATCCATGTGCTTTACAAAAGGGTAGGTTTTAAAGAGAGACTATTCATGGTATATCCAAAATAACCAGGTTTTTTTTATACCTGTTTTCTCTTTTAGTTCTTCTCAAAACAAGGAGCATTTTATAAAATGTTTCTGCTAGAATGTTTTTATTTTCCACCCTTAATTGCCTGCTTTCATGTTCCAGTAGAATACATGTGTGAAAAGTCCTTCTGGCAGAACATTATATAAACAACCCATAAAAGTGCTCATAAAAGATGATGCCATTTGTTTGGTGACTTCCATGGGAGCGTAAAACATGGTTTCTATACAGGGTAAATTACTAATTTTTTAGCACCTTTCATTTTATGCCACATCAGACCTCAAAAGTTTATGTCTTCTCTCATGATCCATATATAAGAAGAAATTAAATTTTAGTATCAAAATACAAAATTGAATCATCTAGCTCATGTTAGAGTATATTTTAAATTTTATTCCGTTTTTTAAATAAGAATAAATTCTCCTAGTTGAAATTACAAAAGGCACTAAGATTTTAAGACTCCCTTCTACTCTGTCTTGGCCATTCAGTTTTCCTCACTACATGTAACCAGTGATTTCAATTTACTGTCTCATCTTCCAGAGGTATTATGTGTGAAGGTGCACTTAAATACACATCTATATTTTGCCCCCTCCTTTAAGAAGTGGTAACATATTATATCTATTTTTATGTATGTGCCCCCACCCCCTTTTTTTTGCACAATATAAATTGGGTATTATTGCATATAAGTACATAAAGAACTTTTCTATTCTCGTGGTATGGGTATAGCATCATTTCTTTTACTGGTTACCTTTGGGTTATTTCTTGAATGTTAATATGTTTTTCACCAATATTTTGAAACCTAGAAAGAAGGGAAAATTTAGGTCTTTCCAGAAAATGTGAAAGATCCCTGATTCAGCTTTGTTAATTCCATTCAACTTCACTTGATATGTAGTCTTCTCTTTTTACTTACTAGCTACCTGTCTTGCACAAGACACTATGTTCATGATATAATCATACCAGATTCATTCTGACTTTATCATACTTTGCCCCTGTACTTCCGGGAGAACAGGTTTATTGCTTTTCATTACCTTAAAAGACTTCACTCAGCTGTTGTCTTTTTCCAAGTCTAATAGGTTCTTTTTAGGATTCTAATAAAACAAGACATCAATTTTATAATAAAAAACAGCCTTGCATTTTTTTGTAGCTATAAAGATGGTATTAAAGAAGCCTACTGTAAAAGTCTATTTTAGTGTGGAGAATACAAATATACATATATAATATGTGAGAAAACAATTTGATAACAATTTTTCTCTGCTGTGACTTTCTTTAATTTATAATTTAAATTGATCTATTAGGAAAAATAATACTGATATTATGTTGAACAACCAGCTTGGCAATGATCTTAGGGGAAGAAATATTACTAATACCTTGCAGTATTCTCGTTGTATGGAAAGAGGAAAAATGTACTGTGTTACAGTCAGAGGCAGATGCATATTGAGTGGGCACATGTTTGTCATGATACTGGAGAGTGGGACCTTGTGTTCATGAGAAGAAATGATGGTCTGGCATTATAAAAAAAAGAGCAGCAATTTATTTTTACCTGCCTAACATTTGGTTTAAAGCAGAAGGGATATAAGTATGGAATAGTTTTTAGATATAGAATTGGAACAAGTTCATACTTACAAGTGATGAACATTTTAAAAATGACAATACAAAGAAATGGCAATTGATAATACATAATTCAAAATAGTATTTACACAACTCAAAAAACTTCCAAATTTAGTGTCTGAGAAGCTTAAATAAAATGACCTTATACCCCTCACCCAGTTATTATTAAATCATTAAGCCTATTTATGTGATGATATCCAGAATATGACAGAAGGATAGAATTATATAGATTGATTAATTTATTCAGGAAATATTTAAGAAATTTTGCATTAACAAATACATTAGATAATATTTGTGTTAATTTTTCAGTTATGGGAGGTACATAGAAGGGACAGGATCTGTGTTACAGACTGCAGAGGATGTGCAGGTACTATGCATGCTTTAGAACTTAATTATTTGAAAATTATTTTAAATAAAAATTATTTTTAATACTTAAAATTTGAGAATGTCAAAATAATTTTACATGTTCTATTGGAAATGGATATAATTCATATTTATATTCATATATAGTAATTCTTTACTATAGAAAATTTTCTTGCTGCATAAGTTTATATAAAAAGAATATTTTATGTTTTTATTCTTGCCTTCTATATTTTTTATTCCATAAAGAGTAAGTTGACATGCAGTGTGCAACAGTTAATTTCTCTAAAATTATGTGCAAATATCTTAAAATGGGGACTTCTTTTGGAGCGCATACTATGACTTTTAAGGAAAGAAGTCTATGTTTTAGCAAAGCATTTTATTAATATTTCAATTATAAACTCTTTATAGTATCATGGTTGAATATAAGCTTGATATTTTGCAAGTTTTATACTTTTGAAAAGTTTGAAATGAAATCACATTATCTTCTTTTATAATGATTTAAACTCACTATTAATAAGATCTGCCCATTTAACATCCTATCAGAGGCAACTGAATGTCTGTATTTGAGAAATCATATTTATTAAATATATTTTATTGTTTTAAAAAAATGTTATGAAATTGATAATAAACAGTAAACATTTTAATGATGTATCTGTTAAACATTGTAAAATTGACCTCATTGATCAAGTTTTTTTATATTTCCCTCTATTTTTTGTTATATTGTCTTTTATTATTTATATTCTTATTTAATTTTTGAGGAATCAAAAATGACAGATACATTGCAAGTATCCTGATCTGTTGAACATTAAGGTTTTGTCCATTTTCAAAGTTTATATTGCCATTGATGAGCCAATTACGTAGTTTATTGAAGAGACATTTTGCCCTGGGCTGTCATGTGTTATAGCAGACATTCCATGGTTTTTTAAGCTGTCTCACAAAAGGTGATCTTATCTTAACAAATCTAATTGCCGTCTACTTCATCAGTTACCTTGGGGCTTTTCTTACAGATTGAGGATATCTACAAATCTCTTACCGATTTGTCACAAGAAGAAAAGATAACAAAATTGTTAATGCTTAAACTTCGATATTTCACTCCTAAAGAAATCGCAAATCTTCTTGGATTTCCTCCAGAGTTTGGTATGTGGGGTACATGCAGACCTCAGCTTTTGTTTATTAAAGATCCCAAAAATGCATTAGGGAATCATATGTGTATTTTATGAAGAAATCTTTGCTTAGACAGATGGATGTAAGAAACCCATTTCTTTCCTGATTGCGCAGTTATTGACATTTTTCTTTCCTCACCTTTCACATTCATTTATACCTGCTTCAGACCAGTCCCTTCACACTGTTTCCCTCCTCCTTCACTCCAGTTACTGTCCTGAGTGATTTCAGGGACAAGGGGCCAAATCAGCAATTTCCTGCCTCCTTCATGGATGGATGTTGATAGTATCTTCCTCCAGCTTATTTTCTTTCTCCCAGAGGTCCTGCTTTAATAATAATCCAACATTAGATTGTGTGGAAAAAATGCCTAGAATTGTCTTTCTTATGAAGAAATTAAAAGGAGGTTGAGGAACTTATTTATTATTTTTGTGTGAGGGGTTTATTCTCCTGAAGATGCATTCTTATCACTCGTGCGTTTTTGTCCTTTCCCATAAAGTTCAAGTGGAGAAAAGAGAGGGCGGAGAAGCAGTCTAGGAAGGAGCTGTCCTAATGGAAAGGAAGGGTGACTCAGGACACAGGTGCCAGAACCTGTGAGAATGAGGGGATCTGACGCAGGGAATCCCAGGAACAAAACTAAGACAGATGCAGCTGCAGAGGAAGACAGAGTCCTAGCTCATACCCAGTCCAGGAATTCCAGGGGCTGTTGCTACTAAGAGATGGAGACACATTGCTTTTCCTTCTTAGAGCTGCCCTGTCTCTTCCTGGTCCCTTTTCCTGGGCACCTGTGCTCTCCCCTGTATGGATGGTGTGTCTTAGGCTGGGGTGGCTGTGCTCCCAGTACCTGGCTCAGGAGAAGGGAAAAGACTGGCCTCCTTAACGTGCTTCCAGGGCTACACCAGGAGGGCATGCGTTTTTGATAACTGAAGTTTGAAGGCAGAAAAGCCAAATTGCTAAATCCAATGCTATTGTAAGAGCAATGCAGTACTGTTCTTGAAGCACATAATGGGCTAAATAGATCATCTTTTAAATTCTAAATAATGGATTTACAGATGAAGTTTTAGAGCACATCCTTTTGTGCAGATAACAAACTGCTAATACAGTTTGACTACCCTCTTGGTAATTGATTCTCTGAGCGTAGTCACAGCAACCAGCTTGTTTTGTAGTCTCCCTTTTTCTTGGTGAGCTCATTCAGTCACAAATATCCTGGGGAGTGTTATTTAAGAAAAAATAGACTTTTTTTTGGTCTAGTTTATGTCACAAAATGAGTGAGAGCATCATAAAACAAACAAAGAACTGAGAGTTAAACTCAAGAATTTAATTCCCAGTCTGCTCTCCTTGTTATTATTTTTTCTTTTTTACAACAAACAATCAAAGGTATTTTCAACAGTACTAAAGGGAGAAAAGAGATTTACTATGTAATAACAAATAATTCCTAAGTTTTATTTGAGTTCTTTTTCAGATAGTACTCATCAGTTTCATAATATTGAAATTAAGCATGTACCCCAGATTCAGACGGACTGAGTCTGAATCCTAGGTCTACCTAACCACTCTCTGCCTTAGTTTACACATCTGTAAAAAGGTGATAATTGCAGCACCAAATTCAAAGGGTTGTTGTGACAAGTAAGTTAGTATATGTAAAATGTTTACACCCTGACACATAATATAAAATTTAAGTGTCAGCCTTTATTTTGTAAATCATAAACATTTATTTGTTTTTATAGCCTTTACCTTGTAAAGATTTTTTTCTCATTATTTAAAAATTTTAGATGGATAAAATTAGAGTTTTTCATAGCTCTCTGAAAATATATGTATAGTACACACAAAAAAGCCTTCTCCATTGGTTAACCTTTTTTCAAATATGTGATCTGTTTGTATGGTCAGACTTGCCCTGATGTCCTCACTGAGCAGCACTCTGACAGAGCTGTCCTTCCTATGCGCTTTTGACATTGACTCCAGTCCAAAATGGGCACTGTGTGAGCTGCCCGTCCACTGGCAACGATGGATGTTCATTGACTTTTCCATACACTTGTCCTGGTCCCCTTTGTGACTGGTGGCATGCATTTGTGAGACAGCAGGCTTTGGAAGAGAGTCACACTCATCTACACTTACTAAAGAAAAGCTGCTAACTTGACCTCATTAATTCTGTTCTTTTTTTTTTGTCTATGAGGATTATTATTTTTAATGTATCTAAGTTTTTTTAAAAGACATCTTTTAAAAAATTATGTAATCTTTCCATAAGCTAGCTTAGATTTTAATATCTATATTTAGATACAAAATATACAGACATATAAAATTTTTACAAATCTGACGTGTTCTCAAATTTATATTGCAAAAGATCGTCTTTACAATATTTTAAAAGTCTGTTTGTAGGTATATTTGTACCTCTGAATACTTTGAACTTACTAATTTTTCAGATGACTAATATGCTTGCCTAAGACATATTATCTTTATAATAGCAATTTTGTTATTATATTGCAAATATAGTTTTACTATGCAATTGCATAGTAAATTGCAAATATAGTTTTACTATGGCAATCACTGTTATTTTATTGTGGTAAATATAATGTCAAGTGTTGATGAAGCAACTTTACCCTAATCGACTCTACCTTTTGGTTCTCACAAGTGTATGAAATACTGCTATTCTTTTTTTTTTTTTAAGTATTTTCTATTGATTTTTTGTATAATTTTTTAAAAATTTATCTTTATTGTTGAAAGTATTACAGGTGTCCCCTTTCTTTTCTTTTCTTTTCTTTTTTTTCTGTTTCCCATGGACCCACTCCAATCCACACTGGCACCTCCCAGGCCTTCACCATGGGCTATGCATATATGCATATAAGTTCTCTGGTTAATCTCTAACCTCTACTCCCCACCCTGCCTTCCTTCATTTTATTATCTCCTTGCTTTTCTTTTATCTAATTGCTATGCCAAAGGATACTGACTGTGAATTTCTAACATTGTGACTAGCATGCTCGTCACTCTGAGGCATATGTAATCTTTCATGTTGGTACTCACAAGGCTTTGTTCCAGCAAATGGAGTCTCTTGTGGGCCATTTTGTTTTAAAAAAGAACGTAGCAAATAGAAGTTCACTATGAGAAAGTTAATTTTTGGAAGCACAATATTAAAAAAAACAGCTGTGAGGAACCTGTAACCAAAATATATATATATATAGAACTCTTACAACTCAACTATAAAAAGAAAAATAATCAAATTTTAAAATGGGCAAAGGATTTGTATAGACATTTCTCTGAAGAAGATAGACAAATGGCCAATAAGCACATGAAAAGATGTTCAACATCATTAGTTATGAGGGAAATGTAAATCAGAACTACAGTAGATACCATTTCACAAAAAAAGCCAATAACAGTGCCGAAAAAATGTGGAGAAAGCAGATCACGTGTATATTGCTGATGGGAATGTCAAATGACACAGCCGCTTTGGAAAAACAGTCTGACAGTTTCTCAGATGTTACACGTAGAGTTTTTGTGTGACCCAGCAATTTTACCCCTGCAGCTGTCCCAGAGAATGAAAAATAAATGTCCATGCAAAAATGTATACTTAATGTTCATAACAGGTTTATTCATAATAATTAAAAAGTAGAAAAAAACCCCAAACTTCTATCAATGAATGAATGGATAAATAAAATGTAGTATATCTGTACAATAGAATATACTTGGCTATAGAAGGGGAAGGAAGTATTGTTACTTTCTGGAACATAAATGAAAACATTATGCTTAGTGAAAGAAGCCAGGCACAAAAGCAGCATGTTGGCGAATCCACAGAAACAGAATGTAGATTACTGGTTGAGGGGCAGGGAGGGAAAATGGTAAGTGACCGCTAATGGGTACTAGCTTTTTAAAAATTGAGATGTAATTGACATATAATATTATGTCAGTTTCAGGTGTACAACAGTGATTGGATATTTGTATACGTTGTGAAATGGTCAATACATGGTTAACAGTAAGTCTAGTTAACATCTTTCACCATACATAGTTACAGTTTTTTGTGTGTGATAATGACTTTTAAGATCTACCCTCTTAGCAGCTTTCAAATATGGAATACAGTATTATTAACTACTAAAGGCCTGGTGCATGAAATTCATGCACGAGGGTGAGGGGGTTCCCTTAGCCCAGCCTGCACCCTCTCCAATCTGGGACCCCTCGGGGGATGTCCGACTACTGATTTAGGCCTGATCCCGGACATCCCTCTCACAATCCTGGGCTGCTGGCTCCTAATTGCTCACCTGCCTGCCTGCCTGCCTGGTTGCCCCTAACTGCTTCCCGCCCCCCCTGCCTGATCGCCCCTCACGGCCTCTGTGTGCTGGCCTGATTGCCCCTAACTACCCCACTTCTAGCCTGGTTGCCCCAACTGCCTCCCACTGCCAGCCAGTTCACCCCCAACTGCCCCCTCCTTGCCAGCCTGGTCACTCCTAACAACCCCCCACCCCCACCAGCCTGG